TCTCACAGCGAAATCAAAGTCACTGAGGTTAATATGGTGTTCTGTGGCTATTTACAAATGTGACCAAAATAATAATAACGAAATAAGATTGATTTTCTTAGTAATCTTTCTGAACTGTTTAAGCAATGATTTGTTTGTTTAGTAATTTGAACACCAAATATTCTTCCTTACAAGTAAGACTGATTGATACATAGTGCAGGGTAGAGTTCATGCAGCTTCAGGGGCAGTTTATAAGTAACGCTTCTAATAGCAGTGAATCTTACACTCTCTTTCAAACTGCTAAATTGCCTTGGCTCCCTGTTTTGTCATTGTGCTACACTCATTTACCCAAACCCAAATTACAGCCAGGAAGATTACATCAGTGATTTGTGTACCTTATCAAATGTACCTTATCAAATGAACAGTTGCAACATGTGGTCAACTCAGGAGCAGGTTCAAGAAAAAAACAGATTCTAGTATAATTGGTCATTCATAAAGAAAGCACGTCAGAAGAATGTCACTGATGTTTCACGTGGGGAGAAAGGAATGCAAGGCCCTGACAATGCACCTAATGCTTTTGCATTCCAATGGTGGCTATAACATTCCTCTTTAGGAAATTTCTGTAAAGACATGGAGAGTTGCCTCACATTCTTATATGCATCCATCATCCATTTGGAGACCTCATGCCATTACCATAATGAAGCATATTAACTTATTTATTAAATAATAATTACTAGTTTATTATTTAATTAAATAATTTGTATCTTTTCCTGCACAGGTTTCCAATCACTTCACCAATTAAGAAAAGCATAATTTGCTGATGCTTAAGCAAAAACAGAGAGATGGAGGGATATATGCAGATTCTAAGGAAAATGAACATGACTTGCACTATACTATCACTAAAATGCTTTCTGCAACAAGGCCTTCAAAACCCACATTGCATACTGGACTGAATTTTACGAGCTTTTGAATAAACTACTTTCTAGATTTCATTACTAAAAACTGAACACTAAAAAACATTAAGTTATCCTGTTCAAAGAGTAGAAGGCAAACCTTACTGTGTTTCCATATTGTCTTTCTTGTGACCTTTTACATATATATATTTTTAAAGAACGTACTAAGAATTGTGTCTGAACTAATAAGAAACTGAAAGTTTTTGTTTTGTCTTGTGTTTAGATTTGGCCAGGGTATTCTGAAGTAATTTAGAGAAAAAAAAAAAAAAAAATAGGTAATTTAGAGAAAAAAACAAACTCAAGTAGATCATAGTGATGAAGATTCTAACATATGCCAATAGCACAAGGAGGTGGTTGACGATTGTCAGAAAGATACTTGGATAAGCGAATGTGCATCTTGAGATGCCAGAGAGAAAAGTGCTTCAATAGTTTAAGATGTTGTGTGGGAGACTCTCCACAGGCTGTATTACCTACTCTGTTGCTGAAAAAGACACCAGTTTCTTCATCTATGTAAGAGAATGGACCTGCAAGTGGAGCAATCTGCTTCAGGAGATTCTAGACTGGGATTTCCACTTTGATCTTATTTCTCAATCTCTTTTTCTTTTTTTTTTTTTTTTTTCAAAAAAACTAGAACTGTTGTACATCTCTCTGAAATATAGATATTTAAAAAATTGTTAAGTCTGAATTAGTCTATAAAGTAATGTATCCTGCACTGATAGTTGTTTGAACTGATTGGGAAAGATTGCTCCCTGGAAGTGACATGTTGTCTTCAATTGCTAATGAGGGAGACTAGGTTTAGTACCAGTTTGAACAACTAATAATTAAGCATCTAAATTTTGCTAAGACAGCTTAGGGCCCTATAGACTAACATTTGCCTTAAGTATGTAAAATCCAAAGTCCAATTGTTTGGCAACCTTTTAAACAAATCTCTAATTTCTCAAATTAATTAACATCTAACTATTAAATGATAGATTCTAATGTAATCTCTGAGCTATTTTACTTAGGCACAAATTATAAATGTTGTATAAATGTCTCCTGCCAACATTAAAGGCAGAACCAACTCTGAAGTCATGTGGACAGTCTTATTTTCTTTTCCAAAATTCACTGGAGGTAGCTTGTATATGATTCCACTGTTGTTATTATGAATAGCAATCAAGACAAGTGCAGTTTAAAACAGAAATGGAACAAGCAGAGAATAAGAGAGTGGCATTTATAGTCATACAATCACAAGAACATAAGGTTGGAAGGGGCATCTGGGGATTATCAAGTCCAAATCCCTGCTAAATCAAGTTCCCTACAGTAGGTTGCATAGGAAAGCACTGAAGTGAGTTTTGAATAACACCACAGAAGGAGACTTCTCAACCTCTCTGGGCAGATTGTTCCAACATTGTGGCACACTCAGTAAAAAGCATGTTCAGATGGAACTTCCTGTCTTGAAGTTTTAGCCCATTGCCTCTTGTCCTGTCACAGCACACCACTTAAATGAACCTAGTTCCATCCATTTGACTGCTGCCGTTTAGATATTTTTAAGTGTTGATAAGAACCCCTCTCAGCATTCTCTTCTCCAGGCTAAACAGTTCCAGATCTCTCAGCCATCCCAGCCATAAGAGTGATTCTTCGGGTCCCTAATCATCTCTGTAGCTCTCAAGCTGAACTGTAGTTCCCTGTCTTTCTTGAACTGAGGAGCCCAGAACTCAACACAGTTCTTCAGATTTGACCTCACCATGGCAGAGTAGAGGGAGAGGATCACCTCCCATATCTACTAGCCATACTCTTTTTAATGTACCCCAAAGCACCATTGGCCTTCTTGGCCACAAGGATGTACTGCTGGCTCATGGTCAACTTGTTGTCCACCAGGAACCCTTCTGCTCAGAGCTCTTTTCCAGCAGATAAACCCCTAACCTCTAGTGACGTATGCAGTTATTCCACACTGGCTGCAGGGCTCTATGCTTGCCCTTGTTGAACCACATCTGGTTCCTTTCTGCCCAACTCTCCAGCCTGTTCAGATCTTGCTGACTGGCAGTACAGCCTTCTGATGTGTCAGTCACTACTCCCAGATTGGTATCAGCAAACTTGCTGAGAGTGGACTCAATCCCTTCATCCAGGTCACTGAAGATGCGACAGAGCACTGACCCCTGAAGAACACTGGTTTAGCTACTGGCCTTCAACCAGACTCTGTGCCACTGATGACAATCCCCTGAGCTCTGCCAATCAACCAGTTCTCATTCCACATCACTGTCCACTTATCTATCCCACACATCCTAAGCTTACAAACAAGTTGGTTACAGGAAACAGTGCCAGAAGCCTTGTTGAAGTCAAGGTACACACCATCCACTGCTCTCCCCTTATCTACCCAGACAGCGTTGACATCATTGAAGGCTACAAGATTGGTCAAGCATGATTCCCCCTTATTGAAGACATGCTGACTGCTCCTAATTACCTTCTTTTCTTGCCCTTCATGAAGACTGGAGTGACATCAGCTTTCATCCAGTCTTCACACACCTCTCTCATCTTTTCAGAGATGCTAAAGAGTAGTTTGACAATCAGCTCCCTCAGCACTCAGGGTGCATCTCATCAGGGCCCATAGGTGATGCTAAACACATACAAGTTTATGGGTCCAGACTACATGCATCCCAGAGTTCTGAAGGAACTACCTGTTGCGGTTGCCAAACTGCTCCCTTGGAAAAGTTGTCACTGTCAGGCAAAGTTTCTGGTGATTGGATAAAGTGAAACATTCCCATTTTCAAAAAAGGGAGAAATGAAAACTAGAAAGAAAGAGGAACTACAGTCTGGTGAGCCTCACCTCTGTGCCTGGTAAGATTATATAACAGAACATTCTGGAAGAGATGTTAAGGCACATACAAGGTGAGGAAATGTTCTGAGACAGCCAGTATAGCCCCACCAAGGGCAGATTATGCCTGACTAAGATGATGGAGTGACGACTTCAATGGACAGAGAAAGGACAACTGACATCATTCTGCATGGACTCCTACACATGGACCATGAGAAAATAATGAGGTTCAACAACGTCGAGTGCCAGGTATTGCACTTGGGTTAGGGAAATCCCAGATATGTCTACAGACTGGGAGAATAAGTCCTTAGAGTTGCCCTGTTGAGAAGGACTTGAAGGGTTCTGGTGGAAGAAAAGCTGGACATGAGACAGCAGCGTGCACTCACAGCCCACAATGCCAGCAGTATCTCAGGCTGCATTGAAAGAGGGGTGGCGAGCAGGGTGAGGGAGATGACTGTCCTCCTCTACTTTGTCCTTGTCCTTCTGGAGTACTGCATCCAGGCCAGAGACCCCCCAAGTACGAGAAGGATGCTGAGCTATTGGAGCAAGTCCAGAGGAGGACCATGAAGATTGTCAGAGGGCTGCAGCATCTCATATGAAAAGTGTTGAGGTAGTTGGCCTTGTTTAGCCTGGAGAAGAGAAGGCTCCAGGGAGACTTCGCTGTGGCTTTCCAGTACTTGAAAGAAGGCTGTAGGCAGGAAGCAGAGCAACTTTTTACGTGATCTAACAGTGATAGGAAAAGGGAGAATGGCTTTGAATTAAAAGAGGGGAGATTTAGGTTAGATGTTAGGAAAAAAAACCTCTACTCAGAGAGTGGTGAAGCACTGCAACAGGCTGCCCAGAGAAGCTGTGGGTGCCCCATTCCTGGAGGTGTTAAAGGCCAAGTCAGATGGAGCCATGGGCAGTCTGATCTACTGATCTGCAACTCTGCCAGTGACAGGGGGGTTGTAGAGCAGTGATCCTCCCAATCTAAGGCTATGATTCTATGACTTGTGTGCATTTATTTTGCCTAGACAGTTTCTATCAAGATCCTCCTCAACTAAGGGCAAGTCTTCCTTTCCTCAGTCTCTCTTTGTTACCTCCATGGTCTAATATTTCTGAGGGCCAGACTTATCAGTAAAGACTGAAGCTAAGGGAATTTTCAGTATCTCTGCCTTCTCAGCATTCCGCTACCAGGGCATTCCCCTCATTAGGCAACAGACCCACATTTTACTAGTCTTCCTTTTGCTGCTGATGTAATTTAAAAGGTCTATGCCTCTTCACAGGCTGACTCTAACCTTCACATTCCCAACCATCTCTTCCTTGTTTGTAAGAAGAACGTCCAGGAGCACAACTTTCATCATCAGTTCCTCCATCACCTGCATCAGAAAGTTATCTTCAATAAATTGCAAGAACCTTCTGAATCATGTCCATGCTTCAGTGGAAATCTAATCTGCACGGTTTTTTTAATTAATGATCATACACTGTCACCATCAATCAGCTCAGAACCTTTCCATTTCTTATTACTGTGTCATAGTAAGATAAATGAAACTTCTGAAATAATAATGCTATGTTTGTCTCTTACAGAGGATGATACCACCTGATTGCTGATATCTGCTGTTAGAAAAAGCAAGGACTCTTCCTTTTTCAGGATCCAATATTAGTAGTGAAAAAGTGCCATGTTTGAAAACCCCAGCCAGGTTTCTGCTCCTTATCTTCCCTATGTACTGATGCCATTAAAATTGAGAATTCTGCACAAGAAAGCAAAAAGATTGTGTTCTTCACTGTATAGTGCATGTTGAGTCATGAAAAAAGCATATTTCATCAGACTACTTGCAATTCTTATAATAAGATTGACTGAAAAAATACAAAGAAGTTGTCTGTCAGAGGGGAATCAGTTGCTCAGAATTTGCAGTGCAGTTGTTGACTCTCCACAATAGCAGATTATTAGCCAGAACGCAGAACTGCTGGCAGTGACTTCATCACATTCTACACCTGTCTCCTCACACAACTGTTTGTGGTCTGATATTCATTCATTTCAAACCCAGAACTTCCAACCTCCATCATTCTAGTCTTCCAGCTGCCTAGCCATTAGAACCATGAACCATAGAACCATGACACCATTCCCACCATATGGTTCTCAAAACAATCTACCACCTCCTCTCTCTCCTGTCCTGCATCCCTCTACTTACTTCTGGCTTCTTCATGCAGTCCTACTTGTACCATTCGCCCTTACTCTATTACTTGGCTCTTGTACTTCTGGATACTCTCAAGGGCATCTGCTTTCAGTCATGTTCCTGGAGTCCCTCACAACAATCTAAAGTGTCCCCATGTTCTCCATCTCTATCAGTTTTCTGATCATGGCATCAAGATTAGCCAGTGGGTGTGCCTTTAACTGCCTGGCACTATTCTGTCCTCTGAGGAATATGGCCTGAGGGTAGGATACAGAAATTCACTGATAATGATCTTTCAGTCCATTTCCTTTCTTCCCTTCACTGGCTCCTTCTTGCCTCAAGGCCTTTACTGCTCAGTTTTGGGAATTACTTTACAGCCTCCTCCACTTCTCTATTACAAATCCAATGGGTTTTTTACCTCACATAGGGGAGTCATCTGATGCAGACAGCGATAACCTTCCTGGTGCTGCTAATGGTCCTGTGCTTCACTGGACTGGAGAGCTGCTTTACTAGATTTAATGCACCAGCTCTTTCAGTCTGGTGAGAGAGAAAGCATACATTAACTAGTTTGTCTGATCCCTGTCCCCAAGACCAATCTGAAGGCAGTGGCCAGTGAGCTGTACTAGATTACATATTTTGACTGTCTTTGCACATCACATCAATGCATGTTGCAGTTAGTTACATGAGGAAAATATGAAATATTGAGTTAAATTCTCTAGAATTATTGCAGACTCTGGTTTATCTATTTGCTTCAGCTTCATCACCTCCCTCATAGGTTGTTCATACTACATCCCTCTGGATCCACTCTATGGACAAGGCAATCCATAGTCTCTGTTCTTTTGCACCCATTCTGCCTCTACTTCAAAAGAACTCAAGGAAAGTCCTTTGGACTACACAAAGAGTGCATTCCATTAGCTACAGAAACGCACCTTTACCTCTTGGTCTCATTAGAAAAGCACAACTCTAAGCAAAAATCAGTTGTTTAGTGCAGTCACTGTGACAACAAGCATGAAACGACCATGATGATTCTAGAAATGGCCAAGACCAGGAGAAAAAATTTGATCATAAGCTAATTCTCCTCCATGGCAGGAAATCATGTTAATGCAACAGCATGCAGGCCATGAAACCCAAGCAGAAAAAAAAAATTGGTTCAAAATATCTCAAATTTAGATATAATATCCAACAACTTAAAATTGCCATTTTCTGTTCCTTCCCAACTTCCAGAGGAGTTTCTTTAACCAGAAGAGGTTCAGAGGAGTCTGATGACTTCTCCTGCCTCATTCCATAAATACTACTATCTGTTTCTTATTTATAACTTTATTTTTCTCTTAGATATATTTACCTTTAAAGATAATATATTGATCTTCTTAACTGTTGTTATTATTGACATAATTATTTGAGCTAGAGGGTTTTTTTGTTATTGGTTGAATTAATCTACTGAAGATAGATTTGTATAAAGTAAAGGAATTTCTGTGTTCACAAAGGGTGGTAGTGCTGACAGAATGGGATTTAATTTTGGGAATAGACATGAAATTTAAAAAAAAGGTCAGTTTTACTTTAATGCCTTTTTTGTTGTTACTCTTTCTCATGCTGACTTCATAAAGGTTGTAATGTTCACACATTCCTTCACCATCTGATGCAAAACACTCTGTAACAAGGAAATATATAGTTCTCTCCAAAAATAATGCTTCTTTTTTATTTTCATGGAAACTACCGTAGATACAAAGAACATAGTAATACTATTTGATGGTGCAAATTCTCAGCTATAGAACACTATTTTTTAACGTCAGTATCATTAGCTATACATTTCTGCCAGCAATGAACAAATGCCCACTTATTGCACTTGTAAAAATCAGCAACAGTGGAGGTAACCAACCGTCACTGCACCACCCACCACCTCATTGTGCTTGCATCTACTGGTCAGATTGCCCCTCTGCTGCCATCTGTTGCATGGCACAAAATGTAATGGAATATTATTGGGAAGGTTCAACCTCTGTTGCCAGCCTCTACTGCCATATTACCTACAGCCACTTCTGATGTGGGCCAACATAATAAAATAGGAGGTGTTACTTTCAGAGCAGCTTTTGTATATGGAAAATCTGAGAGAGACAGCTGAATGTCTTTCTACTGTCAGTCACGTGGGAATGTTTACTCCAGCAGAATTATCCAATTGAGGACTTTGAAGTTTGGAAACAAAATACAGAAATCTTGTCAGTTGTACTAATTAACAAGGAAAGAGAGGGAATGTGAGAAACCTGTTTCAGGAAAGGGTGGCTGAATGAGGACTTCTGGATTGATAAAATAAGAAGAGGAAACAACAAGCAAAATACTGAGACACAGACCTAATAAAATAAAAAATGCAGACAGTGACAAGAAACAAACCTTCCAGTCACGCTAGGTGATGAGCTTTGAAACTCTAGATGTCACTTCTAAGAAACTCAACCTAGACTTCACAATAAATAAGATTGTGAACTAGAGGGCTATATTGAGAAGGGCGCAGGAAACTGTAGAGCTCTTCAAATCCATACAGGGGCAGTGGGAGGAACAAAACGGGGTAGGCAGAGAAGTGTTGAAAATGGTTGGCTGTGTTAAATACGTCATTATGCTTCTTTACCTGAGCTCTGTCCCTGATCATTGCAGTGTGTCCTATCTTATGTTTTCTCATTAAATCTTTTCTTAACTCTCTGCATATACACACACTCTCTCTCTTGTGTGTGTATGCTGTAAAAACTACACGCCAGAGACTGGCATGACCTGCGTGCAAGTGAAGACTGGTGCCAGATAAAGGGGACAGACACCCTGTCCTGTGGTAACAGCCACTGCAATGAGTACAGTTCCCTACTCCCAGACACTGTAAATGGAGCAGTGCCTGTTTGCAAACCAGCTGCCTAGGGTACGCTGACATGAGTGTGAGCTCTGCACTGGCAACTGGTGTGAGGCTGCTGATCTCAGAGACTGTGTGCCTGGTGCAGACTGCTGGGTTGAGAGCCACTTGTCTTCATCTTCCTTAACCTGGGTGTGTGTGTGTGTGTGTATGTTAGTGGGGTGGGGGAGGGGGCAGTGTATTTGCTAGTAGCAGGGACCTCAGGTCCAGGCAGAGGTATCAGGTAGACAGGGAAAGTCCATGCTGGAACACCTACAGGGAGTAAAGTGGCAGGGTGCTGGACAGTCAGGGGGACTCTGCTGATACTCAGAGGATCTGCAAATGCTCTCGTGAGTCCTGTGTGCATCCCTGCACCAGTGAAATCGTATCTCTAACATGACGAAAGGAGGAAGGAGGGTCTCAGCTGTTTGTATGTATGTTTACGAGTCCTGTGTGCAACTGTTGTTGAAGGCATCCTTAACCAGAAGAGTCTGCATGTCACTGTGTAATGTCAGTGACCCATCTCCGTCTCTTCTTGTATGTCTCTGGGATACATACTCAGATTTGCTTCCCACTGAAAGGGGAAAGCAGCAACCACGTCCAGTAGCCTGGGCAGAGATGGCAGGTTCCCGGGCACCGGGCAGGGCTCCAGTCAGAAGGGAGATTTCTTTGGTCTGGAGCAGCTGGAGTGGCTGAAGCAAGTGGTTACACTCTTTATCTCACTTCATACATCGTTATCTGGATCTAAAATTCACCCATTAGAAAAAATGGTCTAACAAAGGCCTGTGTTTAAAAAGCTTTTGTCACCTAATGTGCCTCTTTAACTGTGCCTCACCAACTGATGTCAGAGCAACAGAAGATGTGGAAGCACACGTCCTGTGTCAGACACCCCTGCTGAGGCAGGAGCCTAGGTATATGCCGGAATGAATACCATGACCTCTGCTAGTAGTAGGAGTTCCCACACCCGAGATTATTTACTTATCCACTTCGGTTAAACAAAGGTGCAAGTGAGGACTTGAAAGTGTTCCACGTTCCCTGTGAGGAATGCACACTGCCTTTGATACGCAATCTTACACTCAATTGTGTACAGATTCCCTTAGATCCAAGCATGCCCCTGGAGGTTGCTTTAGTAGTCCCACTGCAGAACGGAAAATTCCACATTCCTGTCCCACTACCTCTTACTCTGCCCTATAATCCGCATCTAGACATCTGTTAACACTTCAGTATATAACTACTGATACCTGGGAAATTGATCTCACTACTTACTGCACACAATTCATTAGGAAACGTATGACATACAACTGTGTATTGTTAAACCATTAAATTCAATAAATATTCCTGAAAAAAAATGACGGTGTAAATTTCTGTAATCTTGATTTAATCACCACTCCCCGGGCTGAATGTAATACAGTTTGAAGACTAGCTGAAAAAGAAAATACCTACAACCACCAATAAAGGAAAAAAAAAAAGCCCACTACCTGGTCAGCAGATCTCACTGTCTGTAAATCAGAGTGAATCAGAGTGTATATATCCTATATTTTTACTTCTGTAGTTCTGAGTTCAATAGGCTTTGAATACTACAGAATTGTTGTATTTATTTGACAAGCTAAATTCCTGAAATGCCTAAATTCCAGACAGGCCTGGGGCGCTTTGGGAAAAAAAAAAAAAAAAGGAAAACAAAACAAAAAAGTGAAGATCTTGAATAGAAAGATCATTATTAGTAGGAGAGAAGAATAAATTTTTTTAAAAAAATGAATGAATAGTAAAGAGAAAGCCACTGGTAATATAAAATTCTATATAAATTCAGGGCCTGGCCTGTGGAAAATATTCTGTACAGCAAATAATAGTTGAGGTTAAATGTGAGTTTAAAAATAATTGGAGAATTGTCCCATGAGCTACACGATGTTAAATTAACATTAGAGACCTAGATAGAGCAATGTGCAGACTAAGACTTCATTATAGTGGACAGTTTGGTCTGGCAAGATAAAAGGCAACATGAGTTTTACACACATATACTTGTGTCCAAAGAGTAGGTACTTTGCAACAGGTTTTCTGCATTAGATGTTGTTAGATCACCATCTAGAGGACATTTAAAAACACATGCATGTAATTCTAGCGCTTTTAAAAAGTATATAATTTATTATTCTCCACACAGATTACCAACCAGCACAAAATCTGAATTAAGCACA